GTCTTTGTCAGGGACAGTCCTGTTCCTTTTAAGAACTCAACTGAGGGCTGTGTGGGTGGTTCATGCCTGTAATCCTAGCACTTTGGGAGGCCAAGGCAGGCAGCTCAGTTGAGGCCAGGAGGTCAAGACCAGCCTAGGCAACATGGTGAAACCTGTCTCTAATAAATTAAAATAGAAAAATCAGCCAGGCATGATGGCTTGCACTTTTAATCCCAGCTACTCGGGAGGCTGAGGCACAAGGTCACTTGAATCTGGGAAGCAGAGGTTGCAGTGAGCCAAGATCACACCACTGCACTCCAGCCTGGGCCGACAGAGCAAGCCTGTCTGAAAAAATACAAATTTAAAAAAAAAACAAAAAACTTGCTTGAAGCCATGCCCAGTGGTGGCAGCTCATGCCTGTAATCCCAGCTACTCAGGAGGCTGAGATGGGAGGATTGCTAAAGGCCAGGAGTTCAAGACCACCCTGGACAACATAGCCAAATTCCCACCTCAAAGGAAAAAACAAAAATTCACTGAATAGGTCACATTCACTTATGATAATCACTTTTTTTTTTTTCTTTTTTTGAGATGGAGTCTTGCATTGTCACCCAGGCTAGAATGCAGTGATGCAATCTCAGCTCACTGCAACCTCTGCTTACTGGGTTCAAGTGATTCTCCTGCCTCAGCCTCCTAAATAGCTGGGATTACATGGGATTACAGGTGTGCGTCACCACGCCTGGCTAATATTTTGTATTTTTAGTAGAGAGGAATTTTCACCATGTTGGTCAGGCTGGTCTCAAACTCCTGACCTCATGATCCACCTGCCTCAGCCTCCCAAAGTGCTGGGATTACAGGCGTGAGCCACTGCGTCTGACCTGGATAGCCATTTTCTTAAAGCCAGCTGTCTCAGATAATATAATCTAACCATGGAGTGACTGTCCTGTCAGATTCACGGAGTTTTATACAGAGAGTATATACTGAGAGGAGGGAACCTCGGGAGAATTGAAATCTGCCTGCCACAGAGTGGGTGGTCGCGGGAGAGGAGGTGGAGATGAGAATGACTCAGTGCTACATGAGAAACTCCTTTGTGAAGTTAAATAGGTTGTAGTTCATTCTTTGGCTTGAATACGTTTTTAGCTGTCTTACAGAGAAGAGAAGGAATAACTAGTGTTTGTTGAACATCTATTTGTCAGCCACTGCATAGAGCACTTTATTTATATTATCTCTTTAAATTGTAATACCTTGAGGCAAGGACTATTATCACCATTTTACAACAGGGGACGCTGAGGCTTGGGGTTTTACGGACATTTGCCTGGGTTCATTTCACCAGTATTTAGTGTTGCTGGAATTAAAATCCAGCTCTAATACCGAATCCCATGTTTTCTAGGAGCATCTACTAATGTTGCTGCTCTTGAAAGTATTTGTATCATTCAGTAGGGATGAGAGGATTTGACAGAGGTCGTTTTACTGGCACTGGGGCAAATCACTTGCCTGCATTTCTGCTGTCTCTTAAGGAGCTCACCGACAGAGGTCACTCCTGTCATGGCCCTGGCTGGAGGGACAGTTGATCAGAAGAGAGGTCCTGGCCGGACTTTCCCATTCCAGCAGGGAAGCTGAGACTGCTCAATCTGTGTGTCACCAGGAAGTAACCCGTGCCTTTGTTCCCTGTTCTTATAGCTGAATGTGGAACAGAGGAACAAAGCAGCACTTGAGAGAGCTGAGTATAGTGGTGACGGCATATTTTATGCTGGGAGAGTTCTAGTAACTGAGAGTGAGCTCCTAAGAAGTAGCCAGGGAGGGTTTATAGTTTGAAGCACCCATGCATATCTCTATGAAAGCACACTCTGCTACTCTCCTTGGTTTATTATATGTCACAGCTCACGAGTCCCTTTGGGTTGGCCCCTCAGCCAACTCCTCTTCGCATCCTTAGAGGCCAATATGGAACACGGCACTGCTAAATGAAATAAATGAAGAATCCCTAGGCTGCCTGATTTATCTTTTTTTTTTTTTTTTTTTTCTGTAAGACAGGGTCTTGCTCTGTTGCCCAGGCTAGAGTGCAATGGCATGATCATGGGTCACTGCAGCCTCGACCTCCAGGGCTCAAGTCATTCTCCCACCTCAGCTTCCTGAGTAACTGGGACTATAGGCATGCACCATCACTCCTGGCTAACTGAAAAAAAATTTTCTGTAGAGACGGGGGTCTCACCATGTTGCTCAAGCTGGTCTTGAACTCGTGGGCTCAAGCAGTCCACCTGCCTTGGCCTCCCAAAGTGCTGGAATTACAGACATGAGCCACCTGGCCTGTTTCATCCTTTTTTTTTTTTTTTTTTTTTTTTAGTGAAACAGAGTTTCACTCTTGTTACCCAGGCTGGAGTGCAATGGCGCGACCTTGGCTCATCTCAACCTCCGCCTCACAGGTTCAGACAATTCTCCTGCCTCAGCCTCCCAAGTAGCTGGAATTACAGGCATGCGCCACCACGCCTGGCTAATTTTGTATTTTTAGTAGAGACGGGGTTTCACCATGTTGACCAGGCTGGTCTTGAACTCCTGACCTTGGGTGATCCCCTCGCCTGGGCCTCCTAAAGTGCTGGGATTACAGGCATGAGCTACTGTGCCCGGCCTGTATCATCCTTAATAGCCTATACAAACAGCCTGGTGTAATGGGACTCAGGAGTCCAGGGTTCACCTCTTCCAGCTCTATCACTAATTCTCTCTGGGGTATTAGTAGGCGCACTAGGATTTGATTTCCTCACCGTTAAAATGCAGAACTTGAACTTGACCTCGGATCCATTCCAACTCTGCATTTCTCTGAAGGCATTATTCCACCATAGCTACCTCAATTGTTTGAATAACCTCAGATTGGTTATTAGGGTAGCCTTCAGGTTCCGAAGACATGCGGTACAGTTTGGGCAAACATGAAAGGTACATTTAGTTCCTTTTCTTGTACACATGAAGTAATAGATTCATTGGAATATGATCTCTTCCTCCACCCACTTCCATCAATTCAGAGTGGATTTTTTTTCCCTTCCAGTTCTCTGCATGTTTTTCAGCTTTAAAGGGAAATTTTAAGTCAGGAGGTAGTCAGAGGGGCAGGCACAGAGCTCAGCTGATTAGGGGGGTAAATTCCTCTGTGAAATTTCAAGTGAACTGGACTAGACTGTTTCCCAAGGAATTTTTTTTTTTTTTTTTTTTTTTTTTTTTTTTTTTTGAGTGTCACTCTGTCACCCAGGCTGGAGTGCAGTGGCACAATCTCAGCTCACTGCAACCTCTGCCTCCCAGGTTCAAGTGATTCTCCTGCCTCAGCCTCCCGAGTAGCTGGAACTACAGGCATATGCCACCACACCCAGCTAATTTTTGTATTTTTAATAGAGACAGTGGTTTGCCATGTTGGCCAGGCTGGTCTTGGACTCCTGACCTCAGGTGATCAGCCCACCTTGGCCTCTGGAATTTTCTTGAACTGTGGTTTCTTGGTTTTTTTCTTAAGTGAGAGGGGTGTGTGTGTGTGTGTGTGTGTGTGTGTGTGTGTGTATGTGTGTGTATGTTTGTGTACTTTGATAACCATATGCAGAAGAGTGAAATTGGACCCTTTCTGTCACCATATACAAAAGTCAACTCAGGATGGGTTAAAGATTTAAACCTGAAATTATAAAACAGCTGGAAGCAAACATGCGGACAACTCTTCAGGGCATTGTTTTAGGCAAAAAAATTTTTTTCTTTTTTCTTTTTTTTGAGACAGTCTCTCGCTCCGTTGCCAGGTGCCAGGCTGGAGTGCAGCAGCACGATCTCGGCTCACTGCAACCTCCACCTCCCGGGTTCAAGCAATTCTCCTGCCTTAGCCTCCCGAGTAGCTGGGACTACAGGCGCGTGCCACCATGCCCAGCTAATTTTTGTATTTTTAGTGGAAACGGGGTTTCACCATGTTGGCCAGGATGGTCTCGATCTCTTGACCTCATGATCCGCCTACCGAGGCCACCCAAAGTGCTGGGATTACTGGCGTGAGCCATCGCGCCTGGCTAGTTTAGGCAAAAATTTTAAGACTAAGACCTCAAAATCACAGGCAACAGGCTGGGTGCAGTGGCTAACACCTATAATCCCAGCACTTAGGGAGGTTGAGGTGGGAGGATCACTTGAGCCCAGGAATTCGAGACCAGTTTAGGCAACATAATGAGACCCTGTCTTTACAAAAAATTTTAAAAATTAGCCAGGCGTGGTGGCAAGTGCCTGTGGTCCAGGCTACTCAGGAGGCTGAGGTGGGAGGATCGCTTAAGCCCAGGAGCCTGGGAGAGCGAGGCTGCAGTGAGCTGTGATTGGGCCACTGCAGTCCACCCTGGCCACAGAGCAAGACACTTGTCTTTAAAAAAAAAAAAAGGGCACAGGCAACAAAACCAAAAATAGACAAATGAGACTATCTATATTAAACTAAAAAGCTTCTGCACAGCAAAAGAAACAATCAGTAAAGAGACAACTTATTGAATGGGAGAAAATATCTGCAAACTACTCATCTGACAGGGTACTAAGTTCCATAGTAATAAGGACCTCAAACAACAATAAAAAACAAAAACAAATAATCTCATTGGAAAATGGATAAAGGACATGATTAGATATTTCTCAAAAGAAGACATACAAATGGACAACAGTGCTCTATATTACTAATCACCAGGGAAATGCAAATCAAAACCACAATGAGATATCATCTCCCTCCAGTTAGAATTGCTATTGCTAAAAAGCCAAAAAAAATGGCTGGGTATGGTGGCTCACACCTGTAGTCCCAGCACTTTGGGAGGCCTAGGCAGGCAGATCACCTGAGGTTAGGAGTTCGAGATCAGCCTGGCCAACCATGGTCAACGTGGTGAAACCCTGTGTCTACTAAAAATACAAAAATTAGCTGGTGTGGTGGCAGGCGCCTGTAATCCCAGCTACTCCTGAGGCTGAGGCAGGAGAATCACCCCACTGCACTACAGCCTGGGTCACAGAGGGAGACTACATCTTTAAAATTAAAAAAAAAAAGCCAAAAAATAACATGTTAGCAAAGATGCAGAGAAAAAGGGAACTTTTATACACTGTTGGTGGGAATGTAAATTAGTACAGCCAGTATAGAGAACTGTATGGAGGTTTTTCAAAAAACTAAAAATAGAACTACCATATGATCCAGCATTCCCGCTACTGGTTATTTATCCAATAGTAGAGAAATCAGTATATCCAAGGGCTGCCTGCACTTGCATGTTCATCGCAGTGCTGTTCACAGTAGCAAAGATGGAGAATCAGTCTAAGTGTCCATCAACAGGTAAATGGATGAAGAAAATGTGCTGTGTGTACACAACGGAATACTATTCAGCCATAAAAAAGAATGAAATCATGTCATTTGCAGCAACGTGGGAGGAACTAGAGGCCATTATCTTAAGTGAAATAAGCCAAGTACAGAAAGACAAATATCATGTGTTGTCACTTATATGTGGGTGCCAAAAATTTGATGTCATAGACATGGAGAATAGAAAGACAGGAGAGACCGGAAAGGAAGTTAGTGCAATGGGTACAAACATTTAACATAGAAGAATTAAGTTCCTTCTATGTTTGATTGCAGAATAGGGTGACTATACTCAGCAACAGTACTTTGTATAGTTCATACCAACTGGAAGAGAGGACTTGCAATGATACCAACACAGGCCGGGCGCAGTGGCTCACACCTGTAATCCCAGCACTCTGGGAGGCCAAGGCGGGCGGATCACCTGAGGTCGGGAGTTCAAGACCAGCCTGACCAACATGGTGAAACCCGTCTTTTAAAAAAAAAAAAAACTAGCCTGGCCAACATGGTGAAATCCCATCTCTATTTATAAATAGATAGATATGATACCAAGACAGAGAAATGGTAAATAAGGAGAAAAAAAAAGTTTCTAAATACTGACCTGAGCAAGCAAAGTGGTCTTCATTCTTCTAGATATTCTTTAGCGAAGGTACCAAAGCCTTGTTAATGCTAAGTGGATGGACTCTCATTTTCTGAATTCTCAATTTAGATTTAGCTGTATTCATGCCTTCTGAAATGTTCTCAGTTCAAATATTCCAGAAGGTCACTTTTTGAATTGGGAACATTAATCTGATCTGTTTCCTGGTCTAGGATCTACTACTACCTAATTAGCATTATGACCGTAGGCCAGTCAGCCTTTCTCTGCCTGTTTCCTAGTACAAGAATTAAATGAAAGGTTATATGTGAAGTCGTGATATTGTGAAATATAATTTAGTCTTTGTCCCCATTTCCTGGTATACAACTCCTAAAATCCTTGGAATCTCCAAAGTCATATGTTTCTTTGTATGCTAATGAGTTGACTGATGATTGGCAGCCCCTTGGTAGCTCCAGGAGGGATCTGATCAGAGACAACCAAGGAAGGATTAGTCAAGACTTTCAGCCCCACAGCCCAACCTCAGGGGAAGAGGGAGGGGCTGAACGTTAAACTGATCACCAATGGCCAGTGATGTATTCAGTCATGCCTACACGATGAAGGTTCTATAAAAACCCAATAAGACTGAGCTCTGAGAGGATCAGGAAAGCTAGAAGCTATTCCTGGAGGGTGGTGTTCCCAGGAAGGGCAGGGGAACTTTGTGCCCCTTTCCATAGCTCACCCTGTATATCCCTTCATCTGTATCTTCTGTAATATCTTTTTTTTTTTTTTTTTTTTTTTTGGGACGGAGTTTCTATCATGTTTCCCAGGCTGGAGTGCAATGGCACAATCTCCGCCCACC